AACACCAAATCCCAGGAGAGCAGTTGAGGGACAGGGGGAGAGAGCTGGGAAGGGAGGCATCCCCCATCCCCCAGCTCTGCCGCCAGGTCCAGGCAGCTCAGCGCTGGGTCCACTCGAGGGCATTAGGGGTTTGCTGATGTCTCTGGTGGGGAAGATCCACACGCTCACCTGGGTGGGGAGAGGCAGCTCCCTCTGAAGCACTCAGAGCCTGCAGGGGGTGCGCCTGGCAGGTTGGCACCCAGAATGTCTCCAGAAAATGTTTTAAACACTTCAAAAATACATGCAGTGTTGGAAATTAGTGTCAAAGTTTTATTTGAAGACGCTCTCACCATCAATTGAAATGTGGGGGGGGTGATAAACCACCAAGAATTATGAATAAGAATTATACCCAGTGTAATCCTAAGTGATATCAAATCAGAATAATTGGGGAAAAATCTGAATAACTTATTTTTTTCCTTTTGGGATCACACCCAGCAATGTTCAGGGGTTCCTTCTGGCTTTGCCCTCAGGAATTACTCCTGGCAGTGCTCAGGGGACCCTACAGGACGCCGGGGATCAAACCTGGGTTGGCCGTGTGCAAGGCAAATGCCCTACCTGCTGGACTATCACTCCAGCTCAAAAAATCTAAATAACTTTTGTATGATGCTTAAAAATTGGTAGAAATGAGTCCATTCAGTATGGTGCTCACATAGAGAAACCAAAACTCAAAACCTACAGAATTTTAGGAATAAACACAATGAAAATATGTATGAAGAACTCGTAAGCACATATGCAGAATCCCTGCCTTTAAAAACATACCATGTCTACCTGTAGAAAGACTCAACACTGAAAATGTCTAATCCACACAAAATCCACCTTAAATATCCACAGAAACACTCTGCTCAGGTCACTCCAAGCCAAACTCCAAGGACAAGACAGGTGCCTAGACTCGAACCCAGGCCAACCTCATGCAAGGCAAGAGACCCACCCACTGTATTACCTCTGTGACCCCAGTTAAGAATTTCTATTTTTATGTTCTTTTATTTGTTTGATTTTTGGGTCTCACCTGGCAATGCATAGGGGTTACTTCTGGCTCTACACTCAGGATTTATTACTGGCAGTGCTCGGGGGGACCACATGGGATGCTGGTAATGGAACCCGGGTCGGCAACATACAAGGCAAATGCCCTCCCTGTTGTGCTATTGCTCCAGCCCCCAGTTAAGGATTGTGTGTGTGTGTGTGTGTGTGTGTGTGAATTTCAGTTCTTCCTATTGCATCAAGGATGATTAAGTGCACTGATAACACTCTGCATGAGTTAAAAGCCATTGCATTCCTGAGAGTGTGCTCTGAGTGCCTACCAGATACCCTTTGCCTATAAAAAACAGACCAGAAAATACACCGAGTCTTAAGAATCTGCCTGGGTCTGAGCAGTGCACAGAGACTAAGGCACGGGCCTCGCCCAGGGCTGCAGTTAGACCCTGATTGGAATCCTGGCACCTGGCACCCCCGGGCAGGGGCCAAGAGCAGAGGCAGCTGTGGGCACTGAGCACTGCCTAGTCTGAAGCAGAAGAACTGGCCTCTGAGGAGTGTTCTTCCATGACCTGAGCTTACCAGGAACAGGGGTGACTGGAAGGGGCCCCTGGCAGAGGAAGAGGCTCTCTGGAGATCCACTGGGCTGCTGTCAGCGTGGACACGAGGATACACAGTACTGTGAGCCCTGTACCTCGATAAAAGTGCTAAACACAGTGAAATGAATAAATAAACTACACTCAAAATAAAGGCCATATAAGCAGGACAGGCAGTATAATGATCAAGACACTAGCTTGGGCCAGGCAGTATCAAGGCTGAGATACTTGCTTAGGCTCAACACTGGTCTGAACCCTGATGCCACAGGAAGAGCCCCTGAGCACGGGGACCAGGAGTGCCCCCTAAACTCCACCCAATGTGGCCCCCAAACAAATGAAAAAAAAAGTCCACATAAATAACAATAGCTTGTGGTGCCGATATCTCAGAGAATAAGCATTTCAGAAGGAACCTTTGATGCTTGAATAAAAGAAGAGAAATTGGGCTCTGTCCAGAGGGTAGAGCGTTTGCCTTGCATACGGCTGACCCGAGTTCAATCCCTGGTATCCCATATGGTCCCCCAAGCACTGCCAGGAGTAATTCCTGAGCTCAGAGGCAGAAGTAAACCCTGACAGTTTCTGAATGTGACACACACACCCCACACCACACACACAAGAGAAATCCTACCAATTCGCTGAGTAGATTATAAAGATTCAATGCCAGAGGGTCTGGGAAACTTGGTCCCCGACTCATTGAACATTTATGGTAAATACATCAACTGCGGGCTGGAGTGATAGCACGGCGGTAGGCCTTTTGCCTTGCTCAGCCAAGCCGGGTTCGATTCCTCCGCCCCTCTCGGAGAGCCCAGCAAGCTACTGAGAGTATCTTGCCTGCACGGCAAAAGCCTGGCAAACTCCCCGTGATCTATTCGATATGCTAAACACAGTAACAACAAGTCTCACGATGAAGACGTTACTGGGCCTGCTCGAGCAAATCGATGAACAACAGGAGGACCGTGACATCAACTGCATTCCTTGTAATGTTTCTCTTCTCTTATCAATGAAATGCAAATGAAGGTATGGAGTTCATCAGGAAGCAGACATGGCAAGAGTCTGTTGTCTTTCCTGAATCCAGGTGGGCCACAGCTACATGAATGTAACTAAGAGCTTTATCACTAGACTATGCCCGTTGCAATAAAGATCCTGAGCCCTCGTTGCTGTTTGACTGCTGCTTTTTTAAAGTTTTTCTTTCTTTCCCCCACTGGCCCACATCTGGACAGGCTGATTAAGAAAGGTCATCCAGCGCCTCCATCTTTGACCCCCATGGGAAATTGAAGTCAAGTCAAACCTCTAGCCCAAGCAAACGGGGAATTTCTCCCATCTTCGTGACCTCACCACCCAAGGGCCCAATTCATGTTCTTGGCTTTGCCCAAGCCAGTTGGGAGCAGCTGGACCCACACTGCTTCCCCCACGGGCACCTTTTCTCAAGTTCTCTGTGTAGAGTTCATCAGCCTTAATGGTCCAGACAGGATGGCTAAAACTCTCATAACAGCCAAGTAATACAACTGGAGGAAAACAATCACTCCAGGCTTAAGGTCAATTTGAAATGCTAGACAAAGAAATGAGGAAATTGGACCTTTCCGATCTGATCGTCCAAAGTTAGTCCCCACATACAGCGAAAACGTTCCTTCACGACATGCCCACCAGGCTGAAAGCTGAGAGTCACCAGTTGGCAACTAATACCCCAAATAAAATGTCACACTGAATTATAGCTTTTGCCATAAATTTTCCAACAGAAATCTTTTACATATCAAGCGGCCCGATGGCAGATGTCTCCACACTGATGGTCTGTCCTTCCTGCCCTCCTGCCGTTTCTGTCATTCAATGTCTCCTAAGCCACTGCCCAACCTATTACTTGGCCTTTGTGAGAAGGTTTCGGAAGCACATATACACTATGGCTCCTGAATCCTAGTCAGATCATGAATTAATAAATTAGCAGGGACAAAATCATGTTCAACAACCTCCTGCGAATTCGTACGTGCCAAGTTTTTACACAGACTTGCGAGGTTTTGGCAACACCTTGGATTGAGCTCGACTTCCCCAGTTTTCAGCGGAAATATTTTTTCTCTGCCAATATTCTCGAATACATTTAATTTCTCAAGCTCTGTGTTGATAAGAGACTAAGTTCTCATTAGAGTGATTCTTTGCAGGGAGGGAACTGTACCGAGGAAAGATCTGGGCTCTATTTGAAGCATTTTTTTTTCTCCCGCTATTGCCTGGCTTTCATACCTACTTTCACCTCTTGTGCTAAATTAGTAGATTTTTTTTCTAGCCTTTCCAAATATACTCATCGGTCATTTGGCTAGCTTTCTTCTTTTTGTTTCAAGAGAGAAAGGCAGATGTATAGAAAGAAGGGCAAATTAAAGCTTATAAATTTATAAATAGCTGCCTTCTTTCTGTCAAGCTTTCGGGATAAATTTGCATGTTTTATTAATCATTTCATTTTAGATCCAAGAAGCTGTGAGAGACAAACTGAAAATGCTCTCAAGAATGACATGACAAAGAGGCCAATAAACTGCAGAGTGTTTATACTTTTGGAAAAAAAAACGCCAAAAGAACTGACTTCTGGAGACAGAACAGGTAGGGAAGCCAAAGCAGGTCACAGCCAGGGTAAACGCTGCTCTGACAGTGAAGAAGAAAAATACCATCGAATATCCAGAATGCCTCACCACTGCTGAAAATACCCACTGCTGATAACTTACGTTTCTACCGGGAGAGAAATGAATGACAGCATCTTACTGTATCTTAGCTAACTTGAACACAATTAAATTGAGTAATTTTTGTCAGCTGATGGTATTAAAAAAAAACAGTTTCATGCTTTGTGACAGGTATCAAAGTAATCTGAACATCACATCCCTATTGATATAACTGAAGCAATTTAGACTATTTCAATCACTAATTTCTCCTTGACATCCCCTGAAGTAAATGGGACCTCCCGCTTTTTTGTGCACTGATGCTTCTGTGACTTAATTGTTTTCACCTTCCATTTCTTCCAGATGGTGTATTTGTTTTGAGTTGGCAGTATTGATGAGGGGAATATCATTCTAGAAGATAAGTCATCCTAACACGTTATCATTTCCTCCACCCTTGGAAACAGGAAAGCTGGACATGCTAAAGGGAGCTTACCTTCTTTTTTTCCCACATTTTTATTTTATTTTTAAATTTTTATTAGTGAAACACCATGAGGTAGAGTTGTAGACTTACAACTTTTTGTGCTTGGGTTTCAGTTATACAGTGATCGAGTGCCCATCCCTCCACTAGTGCCCATTTTCCACCACCACGGGTCCCAGTATTCCTCCCACCCCCATCCCCCTCTGTGGCAGGGCATTCCCTTCTGTTCTCTCTCTCCTTCTAGGTGCTGTGGTTTGCAAAAGAGGCATCGAGTGGGAGGGAGCTTACCTTCTTGATGGTCTCCAGCATGGACCGGCCCCCCTGCCAGGGCTTGGAGTTCTTCCGGATACAGGACAGACTTGCCATGCTGTGCCACTTGCGGTCCTCCAGCTTCTTATGAAAAGCATTGGCGAGCAGAAGCACAGTGTCATAGATGTAGAGGTTTGAAATCTGCAAAGACAATGGACGGTGTCCGTTAGAACCAGCAAGGCCCGCCGAGAGTTGGAGCACAGAGTCAGTTCGGCTGCTCCGGTGCATGTTCCAGATGGGTGCTCCGCTGGGTTCTTTATTAAGCAGATTTCATTTTTCATTTCCCGGGTCATTTTGCCGTTGAGAATGAAGTCGTGTCTGATTGTATATCTCAATTGCTCTTCCGGTTATTTAGGTGTGAAAGAAGAGATAAAAAAGAAAAGTTTTGACAGAGGCAAGGTTGTTAGTGTCAGACCTGAGAAAATCACCGGCCCTTATTCCTTTCTGAAAAGAGACAGATCTGAGAGCTCACGACTCAGGAAGGGCAAGCTGAAGAATACGTTATATGGATGTGTCAAGTGCTAGCATTCTGGTCATTCAGATGGAGAAACAGCATCTCCATCTTACATATAAGATATGCCAGGTGAAAAAAAAAGGAAACCAACTGAATGTGGTGTGTGTGTGTGTGTGTGTGTGTGTGTGTGTGTGTGTGCGCGCGTGCGCGCTGAGAGCATGCACACGCCTGCCTATAGGAGTTCTGTAAAAATAAATAAGCTGAAACAGTATTAGACATAAGCATTACAAAGATCAAGACGGTGTAGAAAAGTCTGTGACTATTCACAACTATTTTCATTCAAGACATGATAAATACCACAAACTATTCAGTGTCAGTGAATGTACTTGTGTATAGCAACACAGCTTTCTTTTCTAAGGTAACGATGTTATTATCTTCCTTATAATAAATTAAAAGGTATGAGACTTTTGCCAGGACCTCTTGCGTTCTTATGCCTCATTTAGTGCAGATCAGTTAAGTATTGACTAAAAGAGCATAGTTTTCCCTAAAAATGAAAGAGGGACTATGTTGATAAATCCTGACTTATAATGACTCCTGCAGGAATCCTTCAACATTTGTCTATCTGCATCAGAGTATAGTAATAGATGACTGAGGAAATGAAAGTCAGATGCTATGAGAAGAGAAATTTTTAGTAAAGGCTTCCCAACATTCCTTGGGCTTTTTTTTTTCTTTAATAGGAAACCATCTGTGTTTATAAAGCATCATTTGATATGTACAATGCTTATGGAAGGCAGAACTGTCTTTTTCTTTTTTTTTTGTTCTTGCTTTATGGGTCACACCCAGTGATACACAGGGGTTCCTCCTGGTTCTGCACTCAGGAATTACTCCTGGTGGTGCTGGCGGACCATATGGGATGCTGGGAATCAAACAGGGGTCAACTGCATGCAAGGCAAACGGCCTACCCATGTGCTATCGCTCCAGCCCCATGCAGAACTTTCTTTAGAGAGTCATTCATCCACTGTCACTGTCACTGTCATCCTGTTGTTCATCGATTTGCTCGAGCAGGTGCCAGTAAGATCTCCATTTGTCCCTGTCAAGTGCTAGTGTAGCCCGATGGCATATTGGGGTCTCTTTCAGGGTCAGGAGAATGAGGCCCATGATTGCTATTGTTTTTGTTTTAGTTATTGTTTACTTTTTGTCTCGTTCATCCACTACAAAAAAATGAGCTTGTATTTTGTTTGTTTTTGATTTTATGCCACCTCTAACAATGCTCAGGACTTACTTCTAGCTCTGCATGCAGGGAACACTCCTGGCAAGGCTCAAGGGACCCGGGTGGTGCTGGGAATCGAAGCTGGGTTGTGTACCAGGTGAGTGCCTTCCCGCTGTGGCCTCACTCGGCTACTGAGCCTGGTTTTATGAGGAAATATTACTGCAGGCTGAGCTCATCCTCACAGCCAGCCCAGAGGCCAACCCTGGTTTGCCAGACCATTCTTAGATTCACTAAGGGAATGGCGAAAATCGGCAATGAACAAATATTAAGCCTTGTAGTTAAAAAGTTTTGCCTGAACAAAAATTAAGTCTAAATTGGACCGTGAAGAGTCTGCAAATCTCGGTCTGTCCATGTGCCCTGTACTAAACTGAGGTGTGTCCTGGGAGTGCATACTGGTACTATCCCACACCCCTTCTTTAACCACCTGGCAGAATGAAATTGAGACTATTACAGAGAATCAAGATCTGGAAATAATCAAGTACTGAAAATAATCCCTCTTTGGAGAAATCTGTGACCATGGTGGAGGAAGCGTGGAATCCCAGGCCTCTGTCATATGAGTCCCCCTCTCCCAAAACTGCCCCTCACGGCCCCACACTCCAAGCTTCCCTTAGGATGGTCTGTCCCTCTGGCTCTAAGATCCACGTGCAGTTATTTGTATTTTTTCTCCCCAGCATGTCTGGCAATCGCTGCCATCAGTCTGCAGGAAACACAGAGAAAAGTTTCCTTTCCGTCCTTAAAAGCGAAAAGGAGAACCTCAATGAAAACCATGAAAGATGAGTGCAAAGTCATTTCCTAATTTCTCAGCGAACACTAATCTTGCATACTCCTCCCCCAGCCCCTCTGCAATTCACTGTCTTGCTGTGATTTCTCGAGCTTCACGGTGCTCCTGCTTCTGCCTCGTCAGACTGTTATGGTAGAATCCTTTGATGGCATTTTTCCCTCTGGTCAACGAGTCAACCTCCTCCAATATGAATGCATAGGCCACAAACTAAGCGTTTCTGAACTGTGAATTCAGGATGCCACCCCACACTACCACACTGCGCTGTTCTCCTTTGATCTCCCAGGAGACATATTGCATATCCCCACTGGACCTATAATCAAAAATAAAAGTGAAGACCATAACATAACATATTATAGTGGAGCGATAGCACAGCGGGTAGGGCGTTTGCCTTGCATGCAACCAACCCGGTCGACCCGAGTTCGATTCCTCCGCCCCTCTCAGAGAGCCCGGCAAGCTACCCAGAGTATCTTGCCCTCATGGCAAAGCCTGGCAAGCTCCCCGTGATGTATTCGATATTCCAAACACAGTAACAACAAGTCTCACAATGTTATTGGGTCTGCTCGAGTAAATCAATGAACAACGGGAGATGAGTGACAGTGATCAGTGACATAAAAGATTGTTTGAAATATTAATAAATGATATTCCCTCATTCTCTATGAATGCGACCTCTCTATATTTTTCCTTTTTTCACAGTTGCTTTTCTTACTTGTAATTTAACTTAGCTTAGAGTTTAACACATTTGGTTTTTGATAAATAGCTCTCAAAAGCAAAAGATAATTAAATGTAGGGGAGTTAAGGTGTTTCCCTTCCCTTCAGCCAAGCTCACTTGATTCTCAGCACCATCTATGTCCGCCAGACCCCACCAGAAATGATTCCTGAGCACAGAACCAAGAGTCAGCCCTGAACATTGAAGGGTGTGCCCACCCTTCAAAAAATAAACAAAAACCTAAAAATTTTAACAGAAAAACAAAGTTTAATATCTAGTAGGTTTGAAAAAATTGGATTTTTCCTGTCTACCTAAGTTGTCTTCTATTCCAACACTTTTGTGTCATGGCCAGCGATATTTGTAATCCTTAAGACATGTCCTTGGAGTATTCAGCTGATCTCAAATATAAGAACTCCGTACCATCCATAGGGCGGGTTTTACTATAAATAATGGTCTCTCATCATTTGCCCACATTCCTATCAGCATATCCAAAGAAAGTGAAGCCATTTTCTGAGTGTTCTAACACCGTCTGATGGCTTCTTTGTCAGCGAAGTGCCCATTCGCTTTTGAGGTTGATGTCTTTTCCATGGTTATGACTCAAGGCTCTTTTCTCTACCATCCACTGACCTGTTGGCCACTATTTAAGAGATTGTCCACATCTCCCAACAGTGAATAAGAGCATTTTATATTTCCATAGATTATCTTTTGTTTACTTGTTTGTTTTTGTTAGGGGGCACACCTGGAGGTTTCAGGGGTCACTCTTGGTTCTGGACTCAGGGATTATTCTCGGCAGTGTGTGAAGGACCACATGAGATGCCAGGGCTGGGATCTGGACAACTGCATGCATGGAAAATGCCCTTTCTGCTGTGCTATTGCTCCGGCCCCACAAACATGACCTTTACGCCTATTCTTGCACACAATTCAGAGCACTTGACTAGACAGGAATGCATGCCTCACCTACCAACTCCGGGTTCCCAGGTGACCAGCCCTCTCTCTGTCAGCCACACACTTCTGACCTCTTGAAACCACGAAGGAGCCCCATGTTTATTTCGATGACGGCCTTCTGGTACTTGGCACTAGCTTCTGTTTGTCCTAAATCACCTCCTCCCCACAGTTGTTGTTCATTTAGTATAATCATTGAGTTGCCTATCCCTGTGACTCTCGTCCTTGTTCCTCATTTGTTAATTTTCTCTGCTTGAAGTTGTTTTCTGAACTGACACCTTCCTGCAGATATGATCAGACTAGAACAGAGGACTAGAAATGTTAACCCTCTCAGGCCAGAGATACAGTTCAACAGAAAAAGCCCTTGCCTAACACGCAGCCAAACACAGTCAGTCCCTGGAACCCCGTGTGGCCTTCTGAGTTGTCCCTCTTAATCCCTGAGCACAGCCAAGTGTATCTCAAACACAAAACAGAGAAACCTTAACACCCTGGATCTTAGAAAAACGCTTCTTAAGCAGAGACCAACATCACATGGGTATGGTTTAGAGAAACTGATGTTGGTTAAGCTCAGAAGAAATCTGCCTTCATTTTGCAGCCTTCGACAACTGTTGGATGAAGGTTCATTCATCTAAACTTATTTTCATTTTGAGCCTATACTTTATCTCTTTGAAATTCAACATTTAGAGTCACTCTTCAGTGAATATTAACTATTTGGCTCTTGGCTATGGAATGCAATGCAAGATTTCTTCCTTAGAGTTATGTCAGTTACAAATTTGATAAGCATATTTTATTCATTTCCATTCATGCAGAAATAATCATTTTTTTAAAAAAAATGAGATCTTGGAGCAGAATTTCATGGATAAATATAAAGACCTCCTTGTGATTTAAGAGTAGGGTATTTATAAATACGTTTTGAATATCTTCCAATTCCACACGTACAAAAGAGAGGAAAAGAAGTCCCGGTGGTGAGCCCCAGCTTTCAGAAAGT